AAAAATAAATAACAGCAATAACAGCACAAGCCGGCATTATGAATTTTAAATAATAAGTTTACTGTTCAAAACTTTATAACCATCAAATTGAAAACATGAAGTACGTATATTTTTGCCCGGTTTATACAATTAACATTTATCAAAAATACAGACAAATTATTATTAATTAACGCAATAATGACCACATTAATTAATGGCAACAACTCAAGACGGATAGTAATTTAAATTGTTAAAATATTGCAACGCGCGTTAAAAAACATTGTATTTGGTATTTCCCAATTTATGTGCCGTAATTTGTGAAAACACCTAATAAAAATTTTACTAAACAATAGACGATGTGACGTCTGACTTTCTCGAGCAAAATTCGGGTAGTTCTGAATGTCATACGATAAAATTTTGTTTTTACTCTAACATATTTTACATACTATAGGAACAAATACGTTCCTAGGGCCTTTTCTGATCTTAGAATAAATTAACACAATATCGCATAATTTTAGGGGCTCTTTATTTATTGCTAAGTCGTTCTTAATAATAAGTAAATATAGTTTAAGTTAATATTTTAATAATTACAGTTGCAATATAACAAAAAAAAGATGTTTAATGTTGAACTTTTTATTTAGTTATTTATTTTTTACCTACTTTTGTTATAAAAAGACTTTAGTACCCCCGTCATTTAAATAACTTGTTTTAAATATATTTCGACGTGATTATTCAAACTAATTTTTTTTGTTTGACTTCCCCAAGCAAATTGAGGCAAAATATCGTCTAACCAATTAAAAATGTTGTTACTAATTTTATATGGGTAATTAATGTAAAACATTTATTTATCAGAGTCTTATAATTGAGATAATAATTTTATACAGGTAATTAATGTAAAACATTTTTTTATCAGAGTCTTGATTTAGATAATAAATATTCATAATTTATAAACATTAAATATAGGGTGCAATAACAATTTATAGCAACGAACCAGCATAAAATATTTAAGGTTTTTAATATCTTTTTAAATATTAAAAGTAGAAAAAAAAAAAAAAAAAAACTAAACAAATAACCAAAAAAACTTCGACTAAAAATAAATAAAAATATTTCCAGAGTTTCTTTTGTTAAAAGTCTACCGTGACGTCAAATACTAAAACTTTTATGAATTAAACGCGCTTCAAAGGAATTTTTAAAGTCTGTAGATTGCAACGCATATTTTGAAGACTCTGAGTAGTTGAAAAAAATGGAGAAGACAAGCTTTGGCAAAAACAACAACATTTGTTTTTCAGGGTATGCATTCATTATTTATTTTTAATCAAAAAAATTTGGTTGAAACCTTTTTTTTAACATTATCTTTAATATGAACACAACATGTGTTAAGAGTTTGGGATCCCTTTAAGGCTACATAAAGATTTTTTAAAGATATTTTTTAAAAAATTAGCCAAACAAAAATACCTTATGGTGACTTTTTTAAAAAAAAAAATAAAAAAATAAAATAAAATAAAAAAATAATGTCAACATTTAAATTTTTTTACAGATATTTTTAAAATTATAATTAAGCCAAACAAAAATATCTTAAGAAAGTTTTTAAAACAAAATATAAAAGGGAACAATAAAAAAACTTTATAGCAACATCTATTTTTTTTACATATTATAAATATTTAAATAGTGAAACTCATTTTTTAAAAAAAAGAAAAGAAACTAGAGGTGACTTTTAAAACAATATAGTATAAACAAAACCTTAAAGTGTCATTCAGATTTTTTTTTTAAATTTAGGTAAAAAATTTCACAATTTATAACAAGAAATAATTAAGGAAACTTTAAGGTGACATATAGACTTTTAATGATATTTTAGAATATAACTCAGACAAACATAAAAACCTTTAGGTGACTTTTAAAATTAAGTTAAAAAAAAACTATTCACAATATATAACAAAGAACAATTAAGCAAACCTTAAGGCGACATATTGACTATTTTAAGATTTTTAAAATATAATTCAGCCAAACATAAAAACCTTAAGGTGACTTTTAAAACTAACTAAAAAATATATTTTTTAAATAAATAACAAGGAGCTATCAAACAAACCTGCAGAAATTTAGGTTAAGGTGAATGTTAACAAAACTTTGATTAACGTAAGGGGACTTTTAGAAGGTTTATTCTATTTTTCTTTTTTATATTTTGGGTGTCATCTAAATTTTTTTCAGAATATTATACGATATTATAAAGTAAACTTTTATAAATAGAAAAGAAAAATGCAAAGTTTAAAACAATACATAACATGGAATAATAAAGTGAAACCTTAAGGCAACATATATATATATTTAAATACTTCATTTTAAATTAGAGAAACTTTAGAAAAAATCTAAAATATTATATAAAAAGAAACCAAACATAAAAACCTAAAGGTGACTTTACAGACAATATAAAAACTGAACAGTAAAACAACACTTAAGGTGACAACTAGATTTTTATATAGCTAGTTTTATAGTAAAATTCAGTAAAAACAAGAGAACGTTGAAATGACTTTTAAAACAATATAGAAAAAGGAAAAATAAACTAAACCTTAAAGCGTCATCCTGATTTTTTTTTTTTTAATTTGAGGTAAAAATTAAAACAATATATAACAAGGAACAATAAAATAAAACATACAGCGACATATTTGAAGTTTTTTTAAATATAATTCAGCCAAACAAAAAAACCTGAGGGTGAATTCTAAAATAAACAAAAAAAAAAACTTAACAATTTATAACAAAAAATAATTAAGGAAACTTAAAGGTGACATGTAGACTTTTAAAGATATTTTGGAATATGATTTAGACAAACATAAAAACCTTAAGGCGACTTTTTAAACTAAGTTAAAAAAAAAAAAAAAACTATTCACAATATATAACAAGGAACAACTAAGCAAACCTTAAGGCGACATATTGACTTTTTAAAGATATTTAAAAATATAATTCAGCCAAACATAAACTTTTAAACTAACTAAAAAAAACTAAAAAAATTAAAAAAACTAAAAAAAACTAAAAAAACATAAACTTTTAAAACTAACTAAAAAATAATTTTTAAAAATAAATAACAAGGAGCTATCTAACAAACCTTAAGGTAACATATAGACTTTTTGAGAATATTTTTAAAATATAATTCAGCCAAACATAAAAATCTTAAGGTGACTTTTTATTGATTAGGTTTACATGGTAATAGTACACAAAGCAGTTTATAATAATTTATGCAAGTTACTCATTATAGTTTTTTTTTACATTCATAATACATAACTTTTATTACATTAAAAGGATTTAATGGTTTAGCAATAATTTTTGCAGAAAATTTAGGTTAAGGTGAATGTTAACAAAACTTTGATTTACATCAACCCTAAGGGGACTTTCAGAACAAAATATAAAAAAGAAAAATAGAATAAACCTTAAGGCAACATCTAGATTCTTTCACAGATATTTTTATAGTAAAACTCACTATTAAAAAAAAACTTAAGGTAAATTTCAAAACAATATATAAAAAGGTAGAATCAACTAAATCTTAAGGTGTCATCTAAATTTTTTTCAGAATATTATATGATATTATAAAGTAAACTTTTATAAATAGAAAAGAAAAATGCAAAGTTTAAAACAATACATAACAAGGAATAATAAAATGAAACCTTAAGGCGACATTAATATATATATTTAAATACTTCATTTTAAACTAGAGAAACTTTAGAAAAAATCTAAAACATTATATAACAAGAAACCAAACATAAAAACCTTAAGGTGACTTTACAGACAATATAAAAACTGAACAGTAAAACAACACTTAAGGTGACAACTAGATTTTTATATAGCTAGTTTTATAGTAAAATTCAGTCAAAACAAGAGAACCTTGAAGTGACTTTTAAAACAACATGAAAAAAGGAAGAATAAACTAAATTTTAAGGTGCATCTAGTTTTTTATGCAATATGTTAACTTATTACTAAAGAAGCTAAAGATAAATTTAAAATAGTATATAACAAGAAACAATAAAGGAAACCTTAAGGCAACAAAGATTTTTTAAAGATATTTTAAAAATGTAATTCATAAAAAACTTAACATGATTTTTAAAATGAAAATTAGAAAGCAACAATAAAACAAATCTTAAGGCAACTTATAGATTTTTTTTAATTACATATTTTATGGTAAACTCAGTAAAACAAAAGAACTGAGAGGTAATTTTCAAACATATATAAAAAGGAAGAATAAACTAAACCTTGAAGCGTTATCTAGATTTTTTTCCAAATACTTTACTTTATAACTAAAAAACTTAATATAAATTTAAAACAATATTTAACAAGGAACAAGGAAACCTTAAGGTGACATATAGCCTTTTGAAAGATATTTTAAATAAAATCAGCCAAACAAAATTACCTTTAGGTGACTTTTAAAACAAACAGTAAAAAACAATAATAAAACCAACCTTAAGACAACCTTTAGATTTTTTAATTGACATTTTTATAGTAAAACTCAGTGAAACAAAAGGAACTTGAGGTGACTTTTAAAACAATATACACGAAAAATTAATCAAACCTAAAGTAGTCATCAAGATTTTTATACCGATGTTTTTTATATCTAAAGAATCTTTATGTGGAATTTAAAACAATATATCAAGAAACAAGAAACTAAACCTTGAGATGCCATTTAGATTTTTTAAAGATACTTTTATAATATATTTCATCCAAATAGAAGAATTTTAAGACAACTGAAGTTAAAGACTGAAGTCAAAAAAATAAAAAATAACAATAAATGGATAAGTAAATCATAAGGCTTTGTATTGATTTTCTATTGACATTTCTATTTGAGTTAATTTAAAAAAAATTAATAAGGCAACTTTTAAAACAAGTTTATAATATAACTAAGAAATCCTCAAGGTTTAATAATTTACTGCTTATAATATACCATATACCTATAACACATATAATGAATGGTGCACATTTTAGTAAATGATTTATTTATTTATGACAAGGATGTTAAAACATGATTTTAAAACTTTTTTTACCTATAGAGTTTTAACTTTGAGAAAACCTTCTTTGAATATAGAACTTAGCAACATTTTCTGGTTGACGTTTTTCTCTTTTACGCACTAGATTAAAGGATTTATTTACTTTAAGATTAATGAACAAATTAAACAAATAATACTTAAATACTTTTTTTTTTCTTTATTATTTGACACTCAATCAAACTAAAATTTTGAGAATTAACCTAAATAACTTAATATAGAACAAATTATATTCAAATTATAAAAAAGTTATAAACAATTTATAGAGCTTTGTTTTAAAACTCAATAAACAATAATATTGACTTAGTTTAATTAAAATATATATACAAACTTTTAATTTTTTCGCAAACATTAAAATTTAAACACTGCATATTAGTACACACATTAAAATGTCTAAAAAAAGATATATAAACAAACAAATTTTAATATTACATAATCATAAAGTTGATAGCATATTTGATTTACACCTAAGTACTAAGTTGAGAAAAAAAGTTATTATAATATAATAACTTTTTTGGTGGTACATTGTATATAATTTATATACAATGTACCACATCATGTGATCTATTTAGATCGCATGATGAATATATTTGCTATTATACGTATAATAACAAATATCTAAATAGATCACATGATGTAAATAGCATGTATTCATGTATATACATGAATACATGCTATTTACCAAGTAAAAAAGTGAAAGGTTAACGGCTGAAAAACTTATGTAAATACCATTTATACCCTTTTTTATTATTTTCTTAATTATATACTATAGAGTATATAAATAATGTCTTATGTACAAAATTCAACCTTATTTATATAAATAATAATTGAATCGTAATAAGAGGTGCTTTACATGAAATGTCAGACACAATATATTACTAGTTTCGTATACATTGAATTGATTACAGTATAAATGGTAAATATGAATAATAAAACTATAAATTAATATTAAGCATTTATACTTACAAAAGATTTTATCTTTTCTTTGATCGGTCATGCGATAGCGCACTTAGATAAAATTCTGACTCTGGCGTATTAGCAAGTTTTAGTCGCTTTTTGAACATGTATATTTTTTTAAAACGAACCTCTAACTCAGTTTTTAATCTAAAATTAACAGTTTTTGGGTATTACAGAAGCTTAAGTTCTAAGTTGTTAATAGAAATACTAATAACTTAAATACATACCCGTTTAGACATTAAAAAACTAACATAAAGGAGAGTGTAGCCGAAACGCAGCTTTTTTTTGCATGTAAAATTTTTCATGATATACAACCCCGAATTTACATGGCTCATAACTTGAAGAAAAAACATTATTATTAAGAGAAAATTTAAATGGCAACTCTTTTAACATTACTATTTAACATGATAAATTGTAATCTTTATAAATCTATATAACGAATGTAGAATCTGGTTAAGAAACGTTAAGGTGACCGAAAAATGTCACCTTAACAAAAAAGTCGCCTTAAGTGTGGTATTTTTACCGCAAATAGTCACCTTTAGGTTGATCTAGGAATATATATATATATATATACATATATATATATATATATATGTATATATATATATATATATATGTATATATATATATATACATATATATATATATATATACATATATATATATATATATAAATATATATATATATATATATATATATATATATATATATATATATATATATATATATATATGTATATATATATATATATGAACATATATATATATATATATATATATATATATATATATATATATATATATATATATATATACATCTATATATATATATATATATATATATATATATATATATATATATATATGTATATATATATATGTATATATATATATATATATATATATATATATATATATATATATATATATATATATATATATGCAAAGAATTGTAATACCATGGCTGTAGAAATAGGTAAATGGATAAATAAATTGTATATATTTTGTTGTTCCTGTGTTGTTTCATTCCATTTTATGATTTTTCCATCATGGGTTGTATAAATAATTATTAAGATTATTACGTATGTTGACACCTTGTTACTGTGTTGTTTCATTTAATTTGATGTATAATTATTTATATATACATGATTTATACATTATATTATAATGTTTATATGATGCATACATATTCATTATATATATATATATATATATATATATATATATATATATATATATATATATATATCAAGAAAAACATCCAAAAACCTTGTGACATAGTGTCTTTTTATCACAGTATTATCAATAAAGATTTCTGGTAAATTTTGGGGTAAATGAGGTTTTTTTGCGATTGGATGGAAGAGAATCCATTTTGTTTTGTTACTGTTAAGAGTCAGCTTATTGCATATAAACCATTTTGATATGTTTTTAAGTTCATCGTTCATACTAGAAAAGAGTTTGTTAAATTCAGTTTTAAATAATTTGTATCAAATCCAACAGCAAGTGATACACCAAACAAACTTTGAAAAATAGTATTCGCATCTTGTGCGTCAAGTTCCATAATATCTACGAATATTATTGGAGATATTTCAGAAGATGCTACTGTAGAAGATTCTACTTTGATGAAAACTATAAGCGTTGATTTACTGGAAATGGTGGAAGCTTCATCAATAACAGTACAAATTTTTAAATTATTCCTAATAATTGATATAAACAATTCTTTTGTAGTTTCTTGCGCGATATGCTCTACTATCTTACTTGCACTATGTCGAGAATGAAGTCCGGTTGCCATATCCAACCCGTTTTTTACTTGAAGCTCTATTACACTTTCTATGTCTGAAAACGGACGATTTCTTTTCGCTAGACTGTAAACAGTGTTGAAGATTCTTGTAGTAGAACTAATAAATTTTTTGTTCATCTTATCAATGCATGCTGTAAAAGTTTGTTTTTTAAGTATCTTGGCGTGTTCAACAGCTAGTTTGTGTGCTTTTGATTCAAAATGTTCACTAATTTTTTTTCTTAAAGATGCTTGTTGCACTATTTTGTCTTTCCCCGATGTCGTAACGTTACATTTTTTTCCATTCCTGAAATATTAGTTTTGATTCCATTTTTAAACAATACTCACATCCCAATTTCTGATTACTGACAAATAGCCCATCATATTTAATGTTAAACTCCTTCAACTGTTTTGCTTTCCAACAGCTTGGTAAATTATTATTGTCCTCATTTTTGGAACTAGGAATCTCTAGTATTTCTTCCTGTAAAGTTCTTAAAACTGCTTCGAGAAATATGTGGTTAACATATTTTGTCTCTTCATCTACAAAAAATAAAATAGGTATTTAAAAATTCATATAAAGGTGAATATCAGACCAGTAACCAAATAACTTTAACACAAAGCTATATTTTTATTATAGAAAAATTATCAGAAATACATGCTAACAATTTGACACTCAACTATTGATTTAAGGCATCGCAATTTGCGATGTTTGTGAAATTATCTGGTCTTCAAAGATTCAGTTTATGGATATTAAGGCGAATAAACTTTAATTTGTTAGTGAAAATGTTATGAAAAACAAAACAATAAATTTATGACTACCAAAGTAATAACACTACAGTGTTGTTACTTTTATAACACTCTTTTAAGTTACATTTATAGTTTGTTACATTTATAATTTATTGTTTGATTAACAAATAATCAAGCAATTATAAATAAAAATAATTTAGTTAAATATTTCCAAATTTTAATTAAAGTAGTAATGCATTTAGAAAAAATACAATGGATATTTAAACAATGTTAAAAACCTCAGCAACTGTTACGAATACATATTTTTGACGCTACACGTGCATGTTAAAGTTAGCATTTCTAAACTGTTACTAACGGTCCTGAAAAAGCGCGCGTTAACTTTAAAATCAACCAATGAAAACACTGGTAATTTACATGTTAGGAGAAATATAAATAAAAAGGGGAGGGAAGGACTAATTAACTGAAATATTTCTATAAAGTAAAAAATTAGAATCGCAATGAAAACTAGATAAAATATTCCAATTGTTTATATAAAGTTGCACCAAATGATAAATAAATTTTATTTAAATAATTTTTTTTCGCCAAAGTAAAAAAAATAATAACCGGTTCGCACGAACCATAGAATTTACATCTAACGGTTCGCACGAACCGGTGCGAACCGGTAGGAAAGCATCCCTATATATATATATATATATATATATATATATATATATATATATATATATATATATATATATATATATATATATATATATATATATATATATATATATATATATATATATATATATATATATATATATATATATATATATATATATATATATATATATATATATATATATATATATATATATATATATATATATATATATATATATATATATATATATATATATATATATATATATATATATATATATATATATATATATATATATATATATATATATATATATATATATATATATATATATATATATATATATATATATATATATATATATATATATATATATATATATATATATATATATATATGGAAAGTCATTATTTCAGTATAGGCGGAAAAAAAAAGCTGTGGTGTCTATTCTCAAAAAAACTCGTTTTGATTATGGAAACATTGGATCATTGTCGTCTAGAATCAACACTACTTGTGTAGATTCCTTTTTTTATGAATCTTTTTTTAATGATGCCCAATTGTGTTCTGTGGTTCATGAAACAGATTTTGATATTGATGAGACTTCTTTTTCTGCATATCCGTTGGATAGTAGTAGTAGTAGTAGTAGTAGTAGTAGTAGTAGTAGTAGTAGTAGTAGTAGTAGTAGTAGTAGTAGTAGTAGTAGTAGTAGTAGTAGTAGTAGTAGTAGTAGTAGTAGTAGTAGTAGTAGTAGTAGTGAAGAAAGCTGTGCAGACAACGAAGATAAATCTTTCCAAAACAATTTTTCTAATCTTATTCAAAAATACAATGTTTCCAGACAATTTGTAGAAGATCTTCTTAAGCTATTAAGGGAAAATAGCCATTCAGAATTTCCTAACTCTTATCGTGGTTTGTGTATCAACTATGTCTTTAACTTAAAAATTAAAAAAAAGTGTGGTGGCGAGTATATTTATTTTGGTCTTAGAAGTTTTTTATTAAAGTTTTTAGAGTGATAATTAGAAAAACAAATCTTGGAAATCAATTTTAATATTGATGGACTACCTGTGTTTAGTTCTAGAAAAACATCATTTTGGACTATCTTATGCCTTGTTAAGAAAACTGTGTTTGTTGTTGCTTTGTTTTATGGAACCAAAAAACCAACGCCTGTGCAGGAATTTCTCCATGAATTTTGGGAAGAACTTGAAACTCTTTCTAAATATGGTATTGTATCAAGCATAACTACTCACCAAATTGTGGTCAAGGCATTTGTCTGTGATGCACCAGCACGATCGTTTTTGAAATGTATTTTTGGCCACACTGGGCATGAATCCTGTGAGCGATGTTTGTTAAGAGCAAGTTGGTTAGGTAGGGTTGTTTTTAACAGTGATGATCTCTTTTCTTTGAGAATTTCAATGGATTTTGACAATTTAGAGTATCTTAAAAGTAGTCATCAAATCGGAAAATCTCCATTTATTGGAATGGTTTGCTGCATTAGTCAATTTGTTCTAGACTACATGCACTTGATGTGTCTTGAAGTCATGAAACGATTAATAACTTTTTAAATTAATGGACCAAGGATTTGTAGACTCCCTGCAGCTACAAAAGAATCAATATCTTCAGGTTTGTTTATGTTAAGTCAAAAACTTCCCTCTGATTTTGCAAGAGAACCTCGATCCCTTGACGAGCTCAACTACTGGAAAGCAACTGAATTTAGACAATTTCTTTTATATACTGGTCCTTTTGTTTTGTAAAAAATTAAGCCTAAAAAGGTTTATGAATTTTTTATAGTTTTACACGTTGCAATGTCAATACTATTATTCGATGATGATGGCAAGCGGAACCATTTTTTAGATTATGCTAGATATTTTACTCAGTATTTTGTAGCAAATGTAAAGCATGTCTTCGGAGAGATCTTGTCAGTTTATAATGTTCACTCTCTTATTCATCTTTCTGATGATGTTGAAAATTATAAATACTCCTTGAATTAATTGCCCGCATTTCCTTTTGAGAAATTTTTACAGTAAATCAAAAATTGTGTTAATGTGTTAATAGTGTTAAAAGTGTTCACAATCTAATGTCTCAAGTTTGTTGTAGATTGGCTTCACCAAGAATTTTAATTGAGAGTGGAAAAATGTAAAAAATCT